TTTTTTTTTTTTTTTTTTTAATTATATATTTATACTAGGGGTGCCCTGTCTCGCATTGCTGTGGCTCACAATCATAGGGTGGGAGAAAGAAAGGGTTGCGTCAGGGTTGCGTCAGGGTTGGAAAATAAAATATAAAGAAAAAGAAAGAAAAAATTATACGAGGATTAAAAACGTCATCACACCTTGTAAGTAGGTGGTGCCACTGAACTCATCGAAGGATTAATACATGAATGAATAAACAATAATCTAAACCGCACCTACTCCTTTATTTTTTTTTCCTTCTTTCCCCCTGCCCCATTATCCCCGTACTCATTCTCTTCGTTTTTTTTTTTTTTTTTTTTTTTTTTTTTAATAATCTTACTTCAACTGCCTGCTTAGTCGATGAGATAAGCCAGTTATGTTGATCGATTGTATCTCAAGCATATTTGCAATTGCAATATTATTATTCAAATTGTTTAATGATCATTAGAACTGGACGTTTTATTTATCACGATCACTCGTTGTTTATTCATACGAATGAAAACGTTTTATTTATTTATCAATTTGTTTGCTAGATTGTTGTTCAAATGGAAAAGCAATATAATTATTAAATGATAAGGTTCGTAGGTTATTACGAAAAGTTCTTAACCTATTTCCGAAAAGTTCTTAGCCTATTTCCGAAAAATTCTTAGCCTATTTCTGAAAAGTTCGTAACCTATTTCCGAAAAGTTCTTAGCCTATTTTCGAAAAGTTCTTAGCCTATTTCCGAAAAGTTCGTAGCCTCTTTCTGAAAAGTTCTTAGCCTATTTGTGAAAAATTCTTAGCCTATTTCTGAAAAGTTCTTAGCCTATTTCCGAAAAATTCTTAGCCTATTTCCGAAAAGTTCGTAGTTCCGTTATAACGAGACATGATCAAGTGCACGCATACTTTAAGAAAATTCAAAGTCGATTTTCTTCTAAAACAAAGCCTCAAACGTAAAATTTGTATTCTATATTTGTAATGTATTTTTGTATGCATTTAGAATCACCCCCTTTTCGCTTGTACCACCAGTTATCGATCACCCTGTATATATATGTAATTAAAGAAATTATTTTGTTAAAAATATTTTGTTGTTGTCATACAGGTTTGATTTGTGCCGAGGGTGATCTTTGGAAAGATCAAAGAAGATTCGTTGCAGGATGCTTGAAAAATCTTGGAATGGTCAAATTTGGATTGAAAAGGGATAAAATGGAAAGAAGAATTCTCGCGGTTGTAGATGAATGCATTTTGGTAGAACACAATATTGTATTTAAAAAAAAACAATTTTATTTCGATGAGATTTAATTTTTTTTTCTGTTTTTTTTTTTTTTTTTTTGATTCGTAGAAATTAAAGGATAGATCTACGGAAGATGGTTTTGATCCTAATGAGACGTTGCATCATTGCGTTGGAAATTTGTTAAATGATCTCGTCTTTGGTAAAACTTACGACGAGAACGATCATATTTGGAAGTGGCTTAGAAAATTACAAGAGGATGGAGTTAAACACATCGGTGTTGCTGGACCATTAAATTTTTTACCATTTCTTAGGTGAGAATAAAAACAAAAAGAAAAATTAACCGTGTTTGATTAAATACAAATTATAGTTAATGAATAATAAACAACAACAACAAAAATTAAAATTAAAATTAAAATTACAATTAAATCGTTTAATTATCAATTCACCTGTTAATTAATTTAACCTTGATAAAAAGAAAATAAAACATATGTATATTTATATAACACATGACTGTATATTCATAAAACAAAATTGCAGTAGTTTTATTTCCTCTTTTAATTTTTTTGTTCTTTTTTTTTGGTTTTGTTTTTTTTTCATGTTAGATATAAAATATTAATATTTGATTATAATACTCTGTAGATTTTTGCCACAATATGGTAAAACAATGTATAATTTGATAAATGGCAAACTACAAACTCATGAAATTTATCAAAAAATAATCGAAGAACATCGATCAAATCCCAATGCAAACAATGATACCATTTTATCCGCATTCAACGATGAAATGACGAATAAGATGATGGAATCTAACAACCTTGGATATTTCACCGAACAACAATATTATCATTTGCTCGCTGACATTTTCGGTGCAGGAACAGATACAACCTTGACTACTTTACGTTGGTTTCTTCTTTTCGTAGCTGCTTATCCCCACGAACAGGTATGAAATATTTTTCTTTTCTTTTTTAAATATAATTACAGATATACGAAGAAATAGAAAAAACATTTAACTTGCAATTAGCAATAATAAAATAATATTGCGAATTATTTGTTTATTATAAACTATCCTATCTTTCAAGTTGAATGAAACTGCACACAGTGTGATAGATTTGATTAAAATCGGTTCAGTAGTTTAGGAGTCCATTGCGGACAAACAACGTCACACGTCATTTATATATTATAAGATATATCATTTTATTTTCTTTAATAATAATTGGATGAGATACCAAATATTCCAAATACCTATATCTGTGATAATATTTTTATATGTGTGATATTTTTCTATGTGAATATTAGGAAAAGATTCGTCATGAGATGCAAGAAGTTTTATCAGATAAAGCACCAACATTGGAGGATAGAATTATTTTGCCACGTTTAGAAGCAACAATAGCTGAAGTACAAAGGATTAGAAGTGTTGTACCAATTGGTATACCACACGGAACCATCGAGGTATTTTTATTTCACTTTGGTACAAACCACTCAAACCATTTACAAAACCTTTCCTCATTTAAATGCACACACACATTTTTTAATAATTACATATTAAAATTCAGAAGAAATGTCATGGGATAAATAAAACATGAAATATATATATATA